TATCTTTAGGATGAGCCAAAGAAGGTTAATTAAGTGCCTAGCTCGGTCAATTAACTGTTAACAAAAATAATTGTTATATTTTTGATAGTAAGATATCCAACGAAAGTTTCTTGTTTTATAGAAAATCAGACAACCATTTCGTTTCAGAAAAACAAGGAGCCGATATTGAAAATTTTGCTAAATGAAATTTGGCTGCGATAGCTCAGAAGAAGTAAGCAGCTACTATTTGCTAATTTTTACAAGCAATTTAAATCTTAAACTGTTCAACGATCGTTGCTCATTGTAACTTTTTGATATATGTTGTTTTGCAGTTTTGGTACCCTGCTGCGTATGCAGAATTTGAAATTTTTTTGTGGTTTCCGTACAAAAAGGTATTTAAAATCTCGTATTTCTGAAACTTTAGGGTCATATAAATTTTTTTTTATTGAATTTGGAGACAGTTTTTCGAAAAGAGTATTTAATGTACAAAATTTTAGCTTTTTATTTTAAGAGTTTGTAAAAGTTTTGCAAAACAATTAAATCGACGAAAAATGTATGGACTAACTGAATGTAATAAGCGTATTTTTATACAATGTTCTAAGAAATGTGCTAAAAATCATAAATAAATTTAATTGACACGTTATGTAAGTCATACTTGTTTTATTTTGTTGTTCTTTTTTGAATTATGGAGAATTGAGGAGAGTTTGAAAATTATTTTATATAAAAATGAACAGGTTTTTCTGCGAAAAAAAAACAAAATAACAGTAAAATTGTCATTTTGAACTTCAAAATATGTGGTTTTTAATTAAAATTTATTTAATTATAGAATCATGTTTATATCTTAAAATGAATAGTATATAGGGTTATCGGGGTTGCGGTTTATATAACATGAGTTATCACATTTTTAATGAGAATAATTTTCAAAAACTTTTGAACATATACCCAAAATATTTTCTGTGATAATGATAATTTAATAATGGTAAAAAAAATCTTCATGTTAAAAACAGAATTTAATTAAAATTTAATTAATAAAATTAAACAATTCCAATTAAGGTTTTGAAATTAAAGTTGTAGTGTGTGTGTCAATATTAATTTTATATCTTTTTTGTTTAAAATGTTAGTATCAAGAAATTAATTTTGGAAAAAATTAAGAGGAACCAAATTAAATGTAGTTAGTTAAGCTAATCAGATATTCAATTGAAAATAACAAATTAAAACTGTAATTTCTGTTTTAATTGAGCATATATGATTTGACAGACTGCAAAACATCTAAGTAGATGCAACCAACAGTTATATGAGGCTAGAGAATAGAACGAAGCTGATGCTGGCTAGTTTTAGTAAGAATGTCGCTAGAACAATGGTAGATCTGAGAGATTTATGGTATCTTAGATGGCTGCACGTAAGAGGAAGAGTAAAGACTGCGAAGAAAGGGAAAACATAGAACCCCTTCACCTCTTTCTTTGCCAATGTTTAGGCCTTCCTTAAAATAAGGCTTAAGGTATTTGGATCACTATTTTTTAACTTACTTACGGCAATTTTTTTATTATAAGATTAAAGAGTTGATATAAATTCCCGATTGAAAACGATAGATATAGATTGTAGCTAAAACATATCACACGGATTATGGCATTAAAGCCGCTCCACGTTGTACTACTTGTATTAAATTGGAGTGTCTTAGCAAACAACCATGTAAACCAACTAAAAAATCTGTGATTTTCCATATCAAATATGGAAAATAACTAAAATATTCTTCAATGAAATTCTAAAAAATTTACATAAAAATTCTTTGTCTTTCCCGGTTTAATCGCAATCACATCCGTTTTTTGAGGATTGTCGAAAAGAAGATTTTGAAAATTTGCCATTCAAGATCATTTTTATAATTTTTAATAATATTCTTCAATACTCATACAATTTCTCAAATTATCTGAGTAAATATAAATTTAATTCCATCTTGAATACTACCAGTTGACATTAATATTCTAGTTTGATTATATTAAGGACACAATTTTTTTATATTAAAAGTCATTTAAATTATATTATAAAATATTTGTTCTCAGGTGTATATCTACAATATACAATGTATTGTATATATAATATTATTTGTAAATAAAATAAAGATCAATATAGAAATTTTATGAAAGACAACAATATGAAATTCTATAATAATTTATTGAAAATTGTATTAGTAAAAGGACATCTATCCATCTGTTCTATTTATTCTTGTATATAAACTGAAAATATGTAATAAATTTTCTACTAAATAAGCAATTTATGAAATTTCTAATAATAATTTGATAATGCACTATACATAAAGTTCCTTGTTTGTACATAAAATAATAATGAATATTTTGTTTGTGTTCTAGCATATTTATTTGGTTATAATAATTGTGTAAAGAAGAAAAGTATCATATTATTATTTTATTTAGATTTTATAAATAAAGTAAATTTTATAATATTTTATTTTGTTAAAGTTTACAAAAGTGACAACAATTTTATTGAAGTTTTATAAAGTGTCAATAATTTTAATTGTAAAGTAAATCAAATTACAACAAGAAAACAATTAATTTAATTTTATATATACAAGAAATTATTGAAAACTATTTTCTAAACTAAATAGGAAATAGTTTTATTGATTATTTTCTAATGGAAGAATGGTTGAATGCGGATTTTATAAATGTTTGCAGAAATTTTTAGAACTAATCAATTTGCAATCTTCGATATTTGGTGCACACCCGGTGCACACTAGCTGTGTCCATATGACCCATATGTCCAGGCTATTCCTGTCTAGAACCAAACAATTGCGACACGTCACGTTGAAGGGCAATCCTAGCCACTGTCCGGGGTAAATTTCCGTTCAGCAGGCAATTTCCCTTTGGAACATCACCAGTAGACTATCCGATTCCCTAAGGTGGTATTCTGGCCACATTTTTCTTACAGCATATAGAAAATGCTTTCCCTCTGCCATCGGCGCACGATGAAATAATACCCTTTGCGTAGTTCTTAATTTTTTTTCAGTACACATTCGGAATCCCATATATCAAATCAATTAAAATCTAAAAAATAAGTTCAAGTACATCAAGTTCGATGAGCTCAAACTTACATCTTCGAATAATTTATCACCTTCGAACAAATGGCGTAGATTACTATTGTTTTGCACAATTTCACATTTAAATCAATTGCCTTTTTCCTTTCAAAATCTCTGATTAATTTTCCTATTTTTGATTCTACTAAACCAATTCCCAATAGAATTATTTTCTTCTTATTTACACATTTTATTTTGATCTAAAATAGGACAAAAAATGCTTCATTATATCATATTTAAAAATCCTATAAGGATTTACCTAATAAATAATGAGAATTGAAGTAATGGTTCGAAAGGTAGCACATTTTGACTCAACGATAAAGACATAATAAATTATTGCATACTTCCGGGGAGAAAATCAATAAAAATTAAAAGAAGCAATTATTTTGATAATTGACAAAATTTGAAAATATTTGAAGCCCGAAGTTGCCGAAAGTCAAATTTTTCTCCACAATTTTGAAGAGCGAAAAATTGAGGGATTTCGGCCGGACGAGTTGTCAAAAAATGAAAATTTTAGAGCCTCCGGTATAATAATGAGCTACTATAAATGTTAGGGGGTTAGCTAAATTCTCTCATATTAAGCAGAATAGAAGCTTGATAAAAGACGCACGGCTATAGCCATACGGACTGATAGAATGAAACTAACAAGGAAATCTTTTGTACAAGGTTTTTAGAAATGTTCTGAAAAAATAAAAACTTTTTATATTTTAAAAGTTGTAATAAAATTCATTCAATAAAATATTTTGCGTAAAATAGAATCATTTAATCCCGCTATACACAATCACATACAAAAATTGAATGACCAGAAAGAAATAAATATAGAAACTTCTTCTTAATTCCTCCAGGGGCTTTTGTTTTTTTTTTTGCATTTAATAGAGAAAATAAAATAAAAGAGCACATTGTCAACTTTTACATAATGTCAACTTTATTTTATACAAAATAAATTCGAGCATTTAACAAAATTTTATCCCAATAAGGATTTTCGAAAATTCAATATTATAATTTATGTAGGTGAATTAATAATATTTTGTTTCTTTTTATTTTATAATAAATGTGAAGAGGAAAATAGGAAAATAAATAATTTAAATTGACATAAAATATATAGGAGGTGAAGAAAGAGAGAGGGAAAGAGAGAGAGAAAGAAATGTATTGAAAATGTTACAAAATCAAAATTTTATGAAACTTGAAGTGAATAAAACGACTATACTCATGTTTTTAAGGGATCAAAATCCTTGAAAAAGTTATTAATGTAATATTACAATAAATCTATATTAAAGGATAATAATTTTTGAAAATGTAAGCGTATGACAGTTAGAACAAGATCTCTTCATTCAACTAAAAATATTTTTAATTTTCGAAATATAAAAAATTTATTAATTTTGACAATATTAGAAAGCATATGAAAATAAAATTGCAAAAAAATTTCAATAAATCTGAGAATGAGGGATTTAAGAATTTGACAATAATTATTGATTATCAGAAAATTTGGCAATAATCGCAACTCCAATTGCGTTCGAATCAGTGCCTCCGTAATTATTGCTAGGGCTAATAGTTGAGTCATGTATTATATTGAGTAATTATGCTTAACAATCTTAAATTGAAGCGAAATCATCTTATTTATACAGGAACAATTCTAAATTTATTACTTAATAAAAAATAATTGTTAAGAATCAGCCATCAATTGGATTATTTTAAAAGTTTTGAAGCTCTAAATCATACTTCGCCCATATATTGCGTAAGAATGATACTTCTTAAACTTTGTATCCCCAACACTGCATAATACCATTTTAGCGTATGTGAATCTAAATCGAATTTTAATCAACTCTTCCAACAAAGTATAATTATTCAATATCACTGCTTTATTAATTCATATTAAAGTTATTTCACATTTAAAACCAGCTAAATCTAATAATATATTTTTTTCTTTCATTTCTTACAGATCACATCAGTCAACAGCGATTCCATCAGCAATAGGAAAAATTGATACTGGTTTACAACAATTTAATTTAACAAACCGTCGAAAGAAACGCTATCATCGTCATCATCAAAATACAAAAAATCAATATTACTTTCATGAAAGTAATAATGATTCATATGATGATGATATTGATGATAATGATTTAGTATATAAAATTGATAATACTATTAATAATCCTGAAATCAATACCAATTCTAATAATAATAATGAAAATGAACATGATGCTGATGATGACGATGATGATGATAATGATAATGAAGAAGATGATGATGATGACGATGATAATGATGAAGATTTAAATTCAAATGATTCAATTGAAACAGTTTCTGATGAAATACCGATATGGGCATTTGGTGAACAACGTTGGATATCCGGTGTTAATGAAGATACAACATGTTCTGATTTAATAAATGTTTTATTAGCTGATGAAGGTATTATAACACCATTATCATATCAAAATTATCATCGTCATTCTCATCATCATCATCATCATAATAACCATTCGAAAGAATATTATCATCATTATAATCAACAACAACAGCAACAACAAAAGCAAATAGGATTACCTGAAAGATTTTTAACATCAAAATTACATGATTCTGATTTAACGGGAATAACAACGATAGAAACAACAAATACAACAGCAACAACGGGAGGAATAACATCACAGACAGCATCATTATTACCATCAACAACAATAGATAATAATAAAATTTTTGTTATTACTGAAAGATGGAGGCGTGTTGAACAAATCCTTAGTAATGATACAAAAGTTTTACAAATTTGGTCAGCTTGGGGTCAGGCTAAATCAGAGGTGAGAAAAAAAATTTTTTTTTATTATGGTCTTATTTTTTTTTATCAGTGTTCTCTACTTCCTCATCAATTTTTTTTTTTCATTCCTTGAATTAATTATGAATTTTTTTTTTTCTTCTGTATTGTTAGTCTAGTTTTATGTTAAGTTTTGTCTAACAACATGTTTATTTAAAAATTATTTCAGGCGTAAAAAATAACTAAACCCAAAATAGAAAAAAAATATAAGAGGACCTTTATTTTATTGCCTTTAATCCTATTTAGGACATTCACATATAAACACATTTAATATTATATTGCAAAATTATTTCTATCAGAGGAGAAAGAAATTATGAGAAATTATATGGGGTAGGAGATAATTTTCTTCTTTCTCTGCGTTCGCAAGACTCATGTCAATCATCAGTTTAGATATGAGCATGAACTGTTGGGATAGCGTATATACCTACATAAATAATTACGAAATGCTCTTATGATGTTGGTAGTAGCATATTCATAGTAGCATAGTAGTAGCAAACTTTCTAGCAATATTTCATCATATATTAAAATTATTGTGTGCTAAAAAATATAAAAAAAAAATGTCCTTAAGATTTTTATCATAAATTTTTGTTTTCTTTTATATTTCATGATCATATACGCACTGTTTCATATTATGTAGTTGAGAACTGTGCCGGTAGTTGAGAACTCCAGTGGTTGTGAGTTTCTATTCATTACGCTTACAGAGAATTCTGAAGAATGTGGAAATATTTACATAAGTTCTTGCAAAAAGAGTGTTCGCAATTCGCATAATTTGTTTTTGAGGATGAGAGAATTGAATTCAAATGAGAGAAGTAAACACAAATGAGAGAATTAAGCACAATTGAGAGAATTAAGCTCAGATGAGAGAATTATGTCTAAGATCATTATTGTATAGTTTTTTCTTTTAACTTCTCAAATTTCTAATATCATCTCTTTTTTGGATAAACGTTTTTGCAAAAAACTGTGACCAAACGCTCTTACCATCCTTAATTCTGAAATAACTCCCTTAGCTTCTCAATAGTGAATATTTTCAAGATGAGATTACTAAAAGAAAAAATTTTAAGATAATTAGTAATTCAATTCGTATACTTAAGTTAAAGTGTGTACATGTTTTCTCTGCAATTTAATGACAACTTACTACCTGTGCGTAACCAAGTTATCGTATAATCGGAATTACATCGTATTATTAAATTACACCCGTATCACAATATTCCAATTAGTGGATGATGTGCATGATTTCAATAACAAAACCTATATCCTCCAAACTTCAAACAGAAAATGTACCTTTATGCATAACTATAATGGTTATTAAAAAAAAATGTTGTCAAGGTCTGATTTCGCCCAAGTACTATCTAACACTCTAAGTTAAAATGTGATTAAAATAAAACCAAACTGTTTTCACTTTTATTACACATCATAATAATTTTTTTTATGCTTATGAATAACTGAAGGAAGGATTAGTGACCATATAAAAATGGAAAAATAAAATATGCTAACATCCTTTCATATTTTTAGTGGCACAAAAACTAATTTGAGAATGTCAAATAATTTTTTCTCTTCGCATATGCACAAACCCTACGATAGGGGTCAATTTTTTTTAAACACTCCTAAATATTTTTTTTATAGAAATTTTCATTGAAGAGAGAGCAAATTTTAATAGTAAAATGTTAAGTCACAAAAATTTATGTAGGCGGCAAGGTCGTTAAAATAGAGTTAAGTTATATGGGTGCCTAAACTCACAGAGTTGTAAATAAAAATTGTATAGGTTAAAATTTTGAAAAATCACAAATATTGTTGGGTGTAATGGAAATAAACCCTTTTATTACCTTACAAGTGTCATTTGCAAATAGTTTTATATGAGAACAATTAATTTCTATGAGAATTTCCAAGAACCTTATTTTATTCTTTATATATGTAAAGGAAAATGAAGCTGAACGGAATCTAAAGGAAGAAGTCTATCTACTATGTCAGCTACTCATTGCTTTGTACATTTTATAGTTTTCTTTTTCTACATGACTTTTATTTAAACTTTCAACATTAAATTTTCAATGAAAATTGACTCATCTTTCACCCTATTGATAGCATTTCATTTAATTATATAACATTTTCAATTACAAACAATATTTTGTATGCATGCATAGTTTTTAAACCCCGCCTCTCGTTTCCGCCTTCTAAAATAAATTTGTAATTATTATGTAACAGGTGTATTATATGTGCATAATAATAGTCAACAAGGACAAATATTTTTTACTTTTTCTGTTACCTCGGTGGTGGGGTTTACAAGAAGGAAGGTATTGTTTTTGCACCAAATACCCTATGGGAGATTTTTTTGCCGTTCTGTTGGCCTGTCTGAAAAACCTGACTGACTGATAAACTAACTATGTTTCAGTATCTCCCGAAACAATTTTCAGGAAATTATATTTCCAAATTATTTTGGTTGGTCATTCACGACAAGGCCAGACCCCTTACTTACTAGCAAGGCAAATTTTAAGTATTTGAATTTAAATTATGTGAGATATTAAATTACTACCCAGATTTTGACTTAAAATCTTTCAAAGAGAGAAACAAGTTGTGCTCTATTTGTATAAGGTATACAGCATTTATGACTTTGTGCCCTGGTTAGGGTCAGAAATCAAGATTAAAATGAATTTATTGCAAATAATTTGACCAACAAATTCGGATATGTTCTGATGGTCTTGAAAATTCGGTGATGTATTGATCATATCAGATTTTTTTTTAATATTCAATAAAAATTATTAAGTAATTTCTAGGAAATAAAAAATAAAAGGGTAAAATTTCATTTCAATTACTTATTTAATTATAAGAAGAAGGGTAATATAACCTATATATACTATTATAATAATAATAATGTATACATAGGTATATAAACAATAATTTTTTTTAAATTGTGGGAAGAAAATGTAATGAAAACATGAATAGCGTGTTTAATATGTTATTCCTGTAAAAATATGCCTTCCAATGTTTGTATAAATGTACGAGTAGAAAATAGCAAATGACAGGTTAAATGATTAACAATGACAAAATAATAAATATTTTATATTTGAAATAGAGTCAACAATAATATTGGTAAAATATAATGACAAGTTATTTTATTCAGGCGTAGAAAAATAATTATTACCATATAGATTTCATTGGAATAAAAATTTAAAATGTATTGCATAAAGTTTGTATAGGAAAAAGTAGAAGTCGCATTACAATAATTATTGTAACATAAAATATTGAAAGTTAAAATCCACGGTATTATATAATTATATAGAGCTTGTGCTTTAATTGTTATAGTATTCGAAATTATTGGATAGTACTCTGATATAGTAAAACTGTTATATTGGATCTCTGTTTATCAATTAACATTAGAGTTGAAAATTGATATTAACACGGTAAAAATTTACCACAATATGTGGGAGTACTTGTAAGGTATTCCAAGCGTGTTGAATTGAATTATAATAATATTTATTAATTGAGAACGGTATAGATTATTCATTAAAAGGCTCTCATCATGGTTTAAATGAAAGCTCATTTTAGCAGCTATTATTAATTGTAACTAATTGAATAATATTATAAAGAAGTGCAAGTTCATAGCACCCAGATTGTTCGATTGAATTGTGGTTTCATTTCTACAAGTTCTGTTGGATTTCTGCTTTTTCTGTTGTAAATCGTATTGGCTGGATTTCATTTTTATAAATTCTATTCTGATTTATAAACACATTCCAATAAAGAATTTTTAATTTAACTCAATTTCCGAAAATTCCATTACGCACGATTTAATTCAGTCATGATGGAAACATCCTGTATATGCACAATATTGTTATAATGAAAGTGCTTACAGATTAAAGTATCTATAAATTTTTTATTAAATTTTCATTAAATGAAAGATCAAATTAAATGTTTAGTGTATATTGATAAATGGCACTGAAATCAGTAATTAATGGCATTAATTTTTTATTATTTATTATTGTGTATTGAATTTCAAGAATATATATTTTAAGGCATGAAATTTTTTCTGTAATATTCCTTAATATATTTTATAGTATTTTTGAGATTTTTTTTATATTTTTGTTCCGGAAATTTGAACAATTGGAGTTGTAAAAATTCGAACCAGCCAGAGCTCCTCTTTTCAAAGTCAAAAATCCTTTCAGTGCTCGGTGGAGAAAAATTAAACTGACAATTGAATTCAATTGATCTCCTCTTCGTTATCTATAAACATTTATTCTTTTTTCAGTCTCAATATCTCGTTTGCGACTACTTACAATTTTCTTCGCCTCAAAAATTCTTATTGCCAGTGTATTTTTTTAAATAATTAAACTATAATTTCCGACATTTTATAAGCAAACTTATTCGATGTCAAAAAACTTTTCGTGGACCGAAATTAATTAAAATCTTTATCGAATTAGAACTGATTAAATAAACGAAAGCTTATTCTTGCAACTGCAGAACATATGCCTGACTTAACCAAGGGAACGAATTAAGGCAAGAACCAGTGACCTACATATATCTAGTAAATAAGAATATTTTCTGTAAGAGACGCGATGTAAAGTGAAATGCTGTATATTGTTTATAAGCTCATTTAAAGCTTCTATCACCTTCTTTTTTGTTAAATATTTTTGCACTTCAATGAAAATTAATAGCACCAGCTAAACGCAAAAAAAGAAGGAGATTCTCTTGCTGGCAATTAATTATTATTTAAAAAATAATTAACACATTTTGATTCTTAATAAAAAGATTTTTCTTTTCTGTTTTATAGAAAACTTTAGTGTAAATATTTCCTCCACGTTTTTATACAAAAACAATGTAAAAAGTGAAACGATTAATAAATTTGCTTAATAAAACAGAAAATAAATAAAAAATTAATTTAAAAATAATTAATTTGTACAATAAGGTTTATTAATTTTTAATGACCCCTTTGACCTTTAATAATAATTTTAATAATAAAGACTTTTAAAAAAAATAAATAAATAAAATTTTATTAAA